TTGTTTCCAGTCACGGCAGAGAGGTAGCACCCGGTGTACAGTGAAGATTGTGAGGAATCACACTTGCGTGTGGCGTGTGTCTGAATGAACCCACTCAGAAAACGGGCTCTAAACTCACTCTCTCCCCAGGACAGGGAAATCTGCCATCACCTCTGCCTGTCTTCCCCACAGTGACTACTAACTGCAAGGTGAAGGTCAGGAGCGCCATCCTGCAAATTTAGGATTAGGGGCTGTCAGTAGAGAGGCACCATTCCCTTGTGTGTCTCAGGCTGACCATACTAACCAAGCCACCCATTGTTTCATCAAATACTTTTGATTATCCTATCTGTACAAGGCATCGCTCTAAGTGCTGAGGAGAGAGCAGTGAACACAACATGTGAAACTCTTGGATTCGTATAGCTTTCATTCTTATGAGGGGAGAGAGATGCAATAAGCGTCAATAAGGAAAAGCTATAGAATGGAAACTGGGTTAAGTACTCTGGAGAAAAAGCAACATGGAAAATATATATTTTTATCATATATAAATAATAAAATATATATTATTTTATATATTATTTTATGTATTATATATTTTATATATCGCATATTATTTTATATATAATTATTTTATATATTATTTTTATATTATTTATATATCTTTATATATTATTTTATCGTATATATAATAAAATATATATTTTTATCATATATATCAGATATACATGATAAAAGCTTCCCTGGTGAGTTAACACTTACTCGATGAAAGATGGATGCCACAAATACATTCATTGCACCATCCAGAGGAAGTAAGGTAAAGGCAGGGGACTGATGGAAAAGCTCATTTCCAGCCCTGCCTCCTTTCCCTCCGTAGCCCCTCTCTAGTGACTAAACATGTATTTCTCTTTCTTCCCGTAACGCTCAGTGAAAGTCTCTCCCACTGTACTTATTTATGGTCTTTGCCTCCCTTGAAAAAAAGTAATGAACAAACTTTCGGTTGAGATCATCCCTTCCCACCACCCGATTTTCCTGGGCTGTCTCATCCGTCCTCAGAGATGGTGCTACACTGGGAGGTCAGACCACAACTGGAGACATGGGCTCCGATTCGGTGACCTACTTTGTGAGGGATGTAGTACTGTTGGAGGTTATGGTGCCTGAAAGGGACTGAGCAACCCACTGATGCACGGTGACCCCAGCTTTGTTATCTCTGAAAGGACGTCACGTAAACGTGAAGTGAGAGAGACCGTTCTTGAAGTAGTGGCTGCTTCAACATGTCCTGTGGTTCCAGTGCTGGTTTTGACCGCCACGTTACCGTTTTTTTTGTTTTTTTTTTTCACCAGAGGGCCGGCTTTGCCAAGTAGAATATGCTTTTAAGGCTATTAAGTAGGGTGGCCTTACATCAGTAGCTGTCAGAGGGAAAGACTGTGCAGTAATTGTCACACAGAAGAAATCCCTGACAAATTAGTGGATTCCAGCACAGTGACTCACTTATTCAAGAGAACTGAAAACATTGGCCGTGCGATGACAGGAATGACAGCTGACAGCAGATCCCAGGTATATGCTGTGTAAAAGAATTGCTGATCTTTCTCAGGTCTACACACACAATGCTGAAATGAGGCCCCTTGGTTGCTGTATGGTTTTAATTGGCATAGATGAAGAACAAGGCCCTCGGGTGTACAAGTGTGATCCTGCAGGTTACTACTGTGGGTTTAAAGTCACTTCAGCAGGCGTTAAACCAACTGAGTCAACCAGCTTTCTTGAAAAACAAAAACAAAAAAGTGAAGAACAAATTTGATTGGATGTTTGAACAGACAGTGGAAACTTCAATTACCTACCTGTCTATTATTGTATCAATTGATTTCAAACCTTCAGAAATAGAAGTTGGAGTAGTTACAGTTGAAAATCCTAAATTCAGGATTCTTACAGAAGCAAAGATTGACACTCATCTTGTTGCCCTAGCAGAGTGAGACTAAATGTTGTAGTCAGTTTACCAAAATCCACTACGCCACTTGCCTGTGTGTTTGGCAACAACAGATGAACATTATGGAGGCCCTTGGATTGAAAAAGGAACCTCTCTCACTCCTCCTGCCACTGAAGTAAAAACAGTGCTTTTGGGGAAAATACATAAATAAATAAGAAGTGAGACATGGTCTGTGTAGACCAACAAACCAGACATACCACCGGAGTGAAGAGGTACAAGGTAGAGAGATCCTACACCAGCATTAATTATTATCTTGTGATGGATCTAATAAAATTAAATGTGGGTGTCTAGGTGGGGGAAGGCAAACAAAGACAGTGTGTACCCTCTCCTGGGAACATGAGAGAGGATTCAGGTGGTTTGATCTGAAATTTATGATTCTGTGATTCTAGTGGGATGCCTAAGGGCAGGTGATGGGAATAAATAAAGCTGCAACCTCCCACTGGGACCTTCTCAGGAATGGGTTCCTGGATTTTCCGAGTGCTTTTGCTGGGTATATTCATAGTGCTCTTCATGGACGAAGGTGAGTCCTGGTGAGGGAGGCAATGAGGGCTGGGAGAGAATTCATGGGAAAGAAGGGAGGGGTTTCTAAAATTGACTCTTGGGGGCGCTATAGAATGGTTCATGGAGAACTTTTCTTTTTCTCTCCACAGGAGACAGAGTCCTGACCGTAAGATGTATGGTTTGCCATCCTTGAATAAATAATGCTGCCGCAAGAGGGGACATACTTGAGTTCTTTACACGTTGTCTCTCTTCCCTCCCTGACTCCACTCTTCTCACTCCCTGCTCTAGTGTCTTCTTTCTGCCCCCAGCCTTGGGTAGGGGTGATATCCTTGGCTCCAAGAAGGATCATAACTGTTCCCTACTCAAAAGAGTAAGGACCTTTGGCAGATGTTGGGAAGGGTTTCAACTTATTTTTGTGAGGCTTGTATACCTCAATAAAAATGTTTATAGGTCAGAGAGATTCAGAAATAGAACCACTTTCCCTGGAGCTTTGCTTCAAAGCTTTACTATCTTTCTTTAGTGATTCGATATTGCCATAAATGTGAATTCTTCGATGGATACAAGTGCATCAGTGGAATGAGGAGTTGCTGGAAGTTTAATATAGCCTGGTATAACAGGAGTTGTCGCACAGATCACATGTACTTTTATGATCGCCTTACAGGTAAGTGAGGGTTAAAGAGACACAAAATATTACCAATGGTGCCCACAATTCTTGGAGTTGAGGTATGGATGGAGACTGGGAGAAAATGGGGAAAGTAGGAGTCTCCATACACAGACTTGGGGTGAAGACTGTGGGAGGCAGATGTCTTTGGCTGATCCTGTTTAAAGAGACAGATGAGATGCAGACATAGCCCTGGATTCATTCCAGACTACCTATAGAAAACTGACAAGGTTCTGGAGAGAAGTCATTGCTAGGAAGATAGCAAGAGGAAGCAAGGTGATCACATTTGCTTTTCTTCTCTTTAGCGAGATATCTATATCGTTATACAAAACTATCGTGTGAGACTTGTGAAGCGGGAATGAAACTGGAATTCCATGATCTTATGAGAGAAACATATTGCTGTGTTCACGATGACAGGTGCAATAACCCTAATGATATACCAGAAACTACAAAAGAATATGTATCAAAAGACACAGACAGAATTGTTTGACCAAAAGAAATAAAATAGTTTAAGTTTTAAACCACATCTCTCAGTAAACTTTGTCCTTCCCCTATCTGATGATAACATTATCTTACAATTTTCTTAAACCCCAGACTCCACTCTTTCCTCTAAGCCTATAGATCTACCTGTGGAACCGCTATCTTTCCTGTATCAATGCTTCCAGTAACAGACACCCCAACTCTACTTTCTGGTTGGCTTCCACTGTCTTTACCATCTGATATCTCCTGGCGATCTTTACTTGTTCTTAAGTTTTAAAGTCAGTGTTCTAAAATTTCTGGCAAAGGGAACAAAGTATTTTTCTGGTAGAGCTTCTGAAGGAAGATCAGGAAAAAGCGACTGGATAGAAATTGGGACAAGAAATCACAGGAGATTTTACAAACATTAGGGAGGACAGTAGAAGAGCTGTATGACTGATGGCTTAGGCCCATCCCCAAGGGCTCCCTGACTGCTAAAGGGCACAGGCCGGGTGTGCCTCGCCAGCACCATCAAGGTTTGAGCCTGAGTAGGGGCAATGAAAGGATTGAGAAAAGACAGACAAGAGAATGAAAGCTGGATCTCTGTGGGATGCTGCTCCCTCATGGAGAGACAGCACCATGGACGACATGCTGTGTCTTTATTTTATAGCCAATGGATGCCGCGAGGCAAAGTAAGGGCGTGGTCAAGATGTTTATAGCATTCTTATGAGTTTCGACCTTACTCAATTACATGCACCTGGTCAAGCTTGGTTTACTTGCAGCCTATATCACTCAGGCACATGGGGCCACATAGTTGGACCATAGGTGCAAGCTTGCAACTACAGCTGTTGGCTATCATTGTGCTGGGAGGGCTCTGCCCTCCAAGCTGGGACTTGCACATGGCCACGAGAGGACTGTGCCCTCTCATCAGTCCAAGACTTAAACCTGTCCAAAACACTGTAGCTGGGCTGAGGGGACTCCCCATTACCCCCCAAAAGGGCACAAATGTCGTGCACTGGGCCTCTAGTATAATATACAGATCATGTATTACACTAGAAACCTATATAATTTTATTAACCAGTGTTACCCCAATAAATTCAATACATTTTCTTAAAAGATTAGCCAATGCAATTAGACAAAATAAAGCAATTAAAGGACTTAAAATTTGAAAGGGAGAGTCAAAACTATGGTATTTTGCAAAATAAAGGGTATGTACCTGATGAAACCAAGTGAAACAATAGAAAAACTAATATTAGTAATAAAGGAATTTACTAAGGTAATGAGACATAAAATTAATATTCAGTTACCAATTGCCTTTGCACATACAATAACCATGTTATTGATAGTATGTCAAATGGAATGTCTCATATATAGCAGGGGTGGGAAATCCGTAAAACCTGGAGACACTGGGAAGGATGGCGTGAATTATTCCTTGTTACAATAATCAGCCTTGCAACAGTAATGAGTGTAAGTCCGATTGCTGAAAGTAAATATCAAGTTTCTGCAGAATCTCTGACACACCATATATGATAACTGAAGAGTATAATCTGCAATAAAAAAGGAACATAGAAAACATACCAGTGATCTAAATTCTCTTAAGTCAAGCTTGGCACTAGCCCTGTGTGTGAAAATGTAATTGGGCATCAGGGTAGGGTTAGGGATGGCTTCCCAGCACACACTTCCCAAGAGCCTCTGGGCAGGTGGTGGAAAAGCCACTGGCCCTTGCAGGGGTTATTGCTTGAGATCCCTGACGACCCTCAGCTCTTTGTAAAGCTGCTTCATTCCTTCTCCCCTAGAATTATGGTTGGCAAACTGCGGCTGGCGAGCCACATGCGGCTCTTTGGCCCCTTGAGTGCAGCTCTTCCACAAAACACCACAGCCTGGGCAAGTCTATTTTGAAGAAGTGGTGTTAGAGGAAGTTTAAGTTTAAAACATTTGGCTCTCTAAAGAAATTTCAATCGTTGTACTGCTGATATTTGGTTCTGTTGACTCATGAGTTTGCTGACCACTGTCCCTAGAAGATTAGCAACTAGTGCTTTAGTGTCCTCAGAGGTGGAGTGAGTTTGGTCAGTTTTATTGGGAATATAGAATTCCCACCTTCTTCCTCCTGTCTCATTGTCGCAAATCATCATCTCCTCTGCGTGCCCTGGGACCCAAGCTAGGTGCGTCTGCACTTTGGTTCCTCTCTTAGCTTGGCCTTAGTGAGATATAAAGCTGCTGAAGTACTCTCCTAAGAATGTTCTAAGGATCTCAAAGCACCCCGCCCCCTGGCCCTCCAACTTACCCTTGTAGATCTTTAAGAGCATGCATGACTCAGACTTATGAGCAAGACAAACACCATAGCCTCTTCTACAGCGATCTAATTTCAAGTGAAGGTGGCACGTGATGCACTTTAGCGGTGTCACTGCTGAAGAGCACAGAGCTGGTGTGAGACCAAAGAGAGGCATGGGCTCAGAAGGAGCTAGAGATCTGGGGGAGCAGGCAGGGTTGCACAGACTAGGGCAGCTGGATGAAGAGCGGGTGGTACCAGATATGACACAGTCAGAGCTTTCAAGTCCACATCCCAGAGCAATACTGTTAGGAGAATACAAGGATTCTGGCCCCAACTTAAGCAATCTAACCTGGGTGGCATTGCTTTTTCTAGCTTAAAAATGGTTTGCCCAGCTGAAACTGTTTGGCTCAGTGGATAGAGCGTCGGCCTGTGGACTGAAAGGTCCCGGGTTCGATTCCGGTCAAGGGCACATACCTTGGTTGCGGGTACATCCCCAGTAGGGAGTGTGCAGGAGGCAGCTGATCGATGATTCTCCCTCATTGATGTTTCTAACTCTCTATCCCTCTCTTCCTCCTGATTGTAAAAAAATCAATAAAATATATCTTTTAAAAAAAAATGATTTTCCCTGGCCAGTTTTTCACAGTGGTTAGAGCATTGACCTGAGGACCATAGATGCCACGGTTTCCATCCCCAGTCAAAGGCATGTACCTCGGTTGCAGGTTCAATTTCTGACCACGGTGGGCGCAAGAGTGGGAGAGTCCCAGAAACAAGGAGGGCCTGACCAACAGAGCATGGTTTGCCCTGGGGGACCCTCTGCCTTCTTGAGGCTGGTTGGGATCGGGCTGAGTGATGAGGGCAGGGGCAAGAGTGGGAGGCAACCAATCCATGTGTGTCTCTCTCGTGTTGATGTTTCTCTCTCTCCTCCTCCCCCCTTCCTTTCCACTCTTTCTAAAAACTAATGGAAAAATATCCTCATTCCTCCAGTTGAGGATTTAAAAAAAAAAAAAAAAAAAAGGTTTAATTACTGCTGGCCTGGCCTATTTCACAGCACTGCCGATAGGAGGGCGCTCGTGAGGCTGGGTGCTTTAAAACAGTTCACCTCAGCTAATGTCACTATCCTGGGATTTTTGATATTTGCTGTTTAGATATTGTTAGGTGATATACTCTGTTATTTTGACATTCAAACTGAATCTTTGAGGAGGCTTCATGAATTATAGCATAGTCAGTGACACTTTACCGGCTATTTTGTGGGGTGAGCTTACCAAATATAGGTTTAAAAATTTTTTTTTAATATATCTTATTGATTTTTTTTACAGAGAGGAAGGGAGAGGGATGGAGAGCGAGAAACATCAATGAGAGAGAAACATCTATCAGCTGCCTTCTGCACACCCACTACTGGGGATGTGCCCGCAACCAAGGTAACATGCCCTTGACAGGAATCAAACCTGGGACCCTTCAGTCCGTAGACCACACTCTATACACTGAGCCAAACCGGTTTGGGCAGGTTTAACTTTTTAAAAACACCTCTCCTGGGACACCTACATGAGAAAGAAAGTAGTATTTACTGAGCATCACATTGGGGCCATGTTCTCTCAACTTGTATCTGATTTAATTCTTAAAAAAAGCTTTGTGGTATTCCTCCCCGCCCCCCATTTCTCAGGTGAGCAACCAAAAGTACAGAAAATTTAAGACGGTGACTGAACCATATATTTTCACCTGACTGATACCAGAGCACCCAACATTTGCTCTCCTAAAAAGGGAAGACCTTATAAATGGCAAGGATGTCCCAAGGAAACTCTTGTTAGGATTTTGGACTGTGGGGAATAGTAGGGAAAGAGAAAGGAAGCCGTGAGAAGGGGTAGCCATTGAGTTTTGAGCCCCTGGTGGGGAATGGCAGAATGTTTCAAAGCTCAGAAAGTTATGCCCAGCCGGCCTGGCTCAGCGGTTGAACGTCAACCTATGAACCAGGAAGTCACAGTTTGATTCCTGATCAGGGGCATGCCCAGGATTGCAGGCTCAATCCCCAGTGGGGGACGTGCAGGAGGCAGCTAATCAATGAGTCCCTCTCATCATTGATGTTTCTCTCTCTCTCTCTCTCTCTCTCTCTCTCTCTCTATCTATCTATCTCTATCTATCTCTCTCTGAAATCAATTAAAAACTTTTTTTTTTCCAAAGAGAAAAAGAAACGCTCAGTTTTGAAGGCTAACTTCCCCTCCTTCATAAATAAATTCAAGGCTCAGCCCTGCGTCCTGCATGGATATCTGTTAGAGAGGTGGAGTTTCTTGGGGCTTCCTAAATCCCATCTTGGGAGCCTGATCCTCCTGCGTGTGACTCACCATCAATGCAGCAGAAGAGGGAGAAGACCAACAAGAAGCGTTTGTCCATCCTGACACGGAAGAGAAGAAGCCGGGGGCTGCCAGGCCAGGTCCTTAGGCTACAGGGAGGAAACGTTCACCTCGGGGCAAGGATCCTTCATGCAGAAGGGAACCAATCACACAAGGTTTCCACGGGGAGCTCAGCCTCATTTTTCTCCACCCCACAACCAAGAATAATGATCACTGGTAAATGCTGGGGTTTCCATTAAGCCAACTTCGTTTTTTTTCATATAACCATCATGGTAATTATGATTAACATTATAGTTACAATATGATAACTTTTGTTCCGATTTCCCTCAGGAGGAAACTGGGTGTTGGTGAAGGTTAGTATCTGACCCAAGGCTGCATGTCTAGTGACTGATAGTGCCACTCCTCAAAGGAAAGCTTTCTAGTTGTTTTTGTTTTTGTTTTTAATATTTTATTGATTTTTTACAGAGAGGAAGGGAGAGGGATAGAAAGCTAGAAACATCAACCATCTGCCTCCTGCACACCCCCTACTGGGGATGTGCCCACAACCAAGGCACATGCCCTTGACTGGAATCGAACCTGGGACCTTTCAGTCCGCAGGCCGACACTCTATCCACTGAGCCAAACCGGTTTCGGCTAGACTTTCTAGTTTAGAGACCATCTTTGGTCTCTAGATTCCATGCCTCTTGGAGATTTATTCACACACTCAGCAAACATTTATTGAGTGCTTTATGTGCCCGACACACTTCCACATCTGAGAGCAGAGCCATGAATAACTCAGATGAGCTCACCTAGCTCCTTACCTTGTGGGTGAAAAAACAGGAAAGTGAGATGAAAAGATGTACAATCTATGACCAAATTGGGTCTTCCATTTAGAACTTGTGATTCTCAGCCCAGAATTTTTTCCCCTTGCCAGAAATCCATCTCCCCTGGCCAGGGACTGGGACATGTGTGGGGCAGTGAAATCCCCCCTGGAATGATCATACAACTTGAACTTAAGCAAATGTATATTGTGAATCTGGCCAGTTTTGTCCATGATGTAGGTATCTAGCTCTTTAAAAGTTAACTCAGTTATGGTTAACCATGAGTCAAGCAGTGGAAAATGATGATCAGCCCTGGCATTCTAAATCTAAGCCTATCAGTCAGTGAGCTGATGGGACTTTGTCTAGAGATACCAAGAATCTTCCATACTGAACTAATTCTATGACATGCTCTTTAGTTGTAGGAACAATATGTTCAATAAAACATAGTAAGTCTGACATTTTGAGACATCAGACATAGATTGCATTAAATAAGGTCTGAACTCAAATGCCCAAATTTACAATCATCCTTGCCTGTGAAGAGAGCCAGATAGGCTTTAGATATGAGGGAATTGGTTGGGGGGGGGAGAGGAGGGAGGTGGCAAGGGAGAGGGGGAAATGACTCTAGAATGGAGAGAGAGGTTGTGAAGTCTTTACTCTGTCATATTTTTTAATGTATTTTATTGATTTTTTTACAGAGAGGAAGGAAGAGGGATAGAGAGTGAGAAACATCGACCAGCTGCCTCTTGCACACCCCCTACTGAGGATATGCCCGCAACCAATGTACACACCCTTGACCCGAATCAAACCTGGGACCCTTTAGTCCCCAGCTCAACACTCTACCCACTGAGCCAAACCAGTTTCTCCATACTCTGTCATATTTCTGGTGAGGATGTTACAAACTGGATGGAATGTTTCAGGACTTTCCAAAGGATTGTCAAGAAAGCAAACCCCTTGAGCCTTTGGTGCTTGGGCTTATAAGGTCATCAGGGCATTTATTTTGTTGCTTGTTTTCTCTGCTTTGTTTAAAGACAATGACTCTAGAATCATAGCCAAGAAAGCAGGCATCCTAGGTTAAATTGTGAGTGTTTGCACATTTTCCATTCTTGTTCTTTCAAAACTCCCTATGGCAGATGCTTTCTGAAAGGCCCATTGAGTTTTGAGTCTCTTTTCTATGGGATTATTTGCAGTTAAGATTATGGAATTTTGCAACTCCACCCAGGCATGAGATCCTTTGACCTGCTCTGCTTTCTCCCACAGTAACTCATCCATCAAAGTTTCTCTTAAGAACAATTTTGTTCTTCATTTAGCCTGGAGTAGGAGAGAATAGGTATTAGGACCTATTAGGAGAGGCAATGTGGTATAATAGAAATAGCATTTTCCTCAGAGTCTGGAGCCCTGTGGTTGACTGCAATGCAACTCATGACATCATTACCAAGCCACTTATCTATGAAGTGAGGTTTCGAGCATTTTTGTGATCATGTACAACTTTAACATTCTGTGGCTCTATGATGTAAATCATGAGGATGGGTACCAAGTTCTGTTCTTTTGACCTAGCACCCTGCTTAGCACATGGTGATGAGCCGAACATAGGATGACTGAGTGCGGAAGTGAATGAATGAAGGTATCCATCTCACCTGATTCCAGCCTCCATAACTGAGAGACTCAGCGGGGCATGGCACCCAGATTAATGCACTCCCATGCTAAGAAGCTGCCACTCAGCATAGATGCCATTCGCCCTGTTCTGAGGAGATGAAAGCAGAACATCATGTCCTTGTGTTTATGGTCTCGGTTGGCTCCAGGATGAGGGGGCTGAGATCTTGGTGATACCACAGATGAGCAACCCCTTAATATGAGTTTCTAAAATAAAAGCTCAGTTTGAAAAAGTTGGCGTTTTCCTTTTTTTTTTTTTTTAATGTTTCTATTGATTTCAGAGAGGAAGGGAGTGGGAAAGAGAGATAGAAACATCAACGATGAGAGCGAATCATTGATCGGCTGCCTCCTGAAAGCAAACCAGACAAATTTCACCTCGGCTTACCTTTTTCCTGAAGTCTCCCTTCCCTACACCTCAGAAATGGCACCCCAATGCTCTCCCACAATCAGACTATACCTGGAGTCCTGAGCTTCTTTTCTGGGGCTGAGATTATTCTAAGAAAGTCTGAGATTATTCTAAAGAGATTAACTAGGCTAGTGAAGATAGCTAAAAGGAACTAAGATGTCCAAATCCTGTCTAGATATATTAATATTTGAAAGGTTAAAATGTGAAAGAGGAAATTGACTTTATTGCATAGCTCGATTAATATATGTATACTAGAGGCCCAAAGCATGAAATTCATGCAAGGGGCTTGGCTCTCAGAGCCCTGGCTTCGTCCAGAAGGTCATCTGGAAGGTCGTTCGGCTATCTGGTCTAATTAGCATATTACACTTTATTATTATAGGTGTCAGCTCATTGTGGAAGAGAATGAATTTTAAACTAGATGCCTTAGGGGTAGTGAGACCCCAGTGGGTGGTTTTGTTCTGGGAACATTGCGGTACTGTCTGCCCCTGAATTTTTATGATTCTATAATTTAGAAGAAGTGCCCAAGGACAGATCACTGGAGGAGATGAACCAGCACGTTCCTCGGGAAAGTGTGCTGACCCAAGCCCAAGGATGTCCGCTCTGTTTTTGCTGGGCCTGCTCTCTCTGGTCTGCACCAATAATGGTAAGTCTTGGAGGCAGAAGGGCAGCTGGTTGTTGCTCCAGAGATGGGCAGACACTGGGGGAGGCGACACGTCCAGAATTGGCTTTGGGACTTTGGCAGTTTTATGTGAAATTATTTCAAGGAAGACTTTTCTTCTTTTCACAGGTAATCTTCAGAGGTTTCTCATAGGTACGACCATGCCTAATCTAAAGTCCTTGGTAAACAGGTCTTTTGTGACGTGATGAGAAGTAACCCTCCCCTCCATCTGCAGTGAGGGCTAGAAAACACCCTTATTGTAGAGTCCTCTCTTCTCCCAGACCAATTTAGTCTATTCCTTTCAGTAAGGAGACTAAAATCCTCTTTGTTACTCCCTTTCCTCCTTACTGGACAAAAGTCATCTAGATTTTGACTTGACAAAGGGCTAAATCCTTGTGAGGGTCCACAGATACGTTTTATAGGGACTCTGGCCTTTTGAACTCATAGGCAACATTTGATGTATGTCTCTACCCATGTTAGCCTTCACGGAGATTACTGAAGGATTCAATGGCCTGAGGATGAGTAGGAGCCAATGGCAACAGCACATTCCTGTAGGGAAGCCCCCCTCGCCTGGAGAACCCTCTCTGGAGTACATTCTTTAGGCACCTCTTTCTGTGTCTGGCAGAGCCTTCGGCGCTATGTTATAAATGTAAAAAATTTCATCTTGGGTTGTGCTATGACGTCATGAAATCCTGCCAACTGCAGTATCAGCAGTCCTGTGCTACTGAGAACATTTACATCCTTACAAAAAGAGGTAATGCGGGGTACAGCGTGACTGAGAAATATCCACCTCCCTCCCTTGGAGACTCGGCTGTCCTTCTGCCCTCACTCAGAGTGTGTGAGAGAATGGGATGGGGAGCGGGGAGGTGAGGGAATGGGATGGGAAGAGATGGGGTGGTCCTCTAAAGGGGAGGGCAAAGATGCACTTTTCCTTAAGACGACAGTGCGTGAAGAAGCAGCTGGTGTGCCTTATTGGTTAGGGAATGAAATCCATGGTCTGGGTCAGTAATTATAGTAGATTCAGCTTTGTGGCTCATTTGGGCTTAGGGGAAAATTAGGAGGGGCGGTTCCTAGGAATACGGTAGGAGGAAACATAGTCGTTACAGTTGTATTCCCTCTCTTTCACCTCCTCAGGGAAGAGTATATACTATTATTCAACACTGTCATGTATGACCAACTGTGAGGACATCAACTTCTTGGACTTGGAGAAGAGGACAGAGCTCATCTGTTGCAACCATAGTAACTATTGCAACCTCCCCGAGGGAGCCTAGCTCAGCATCTCTCCTGGGTTTGGGGGTCATTCTTCAACTCCCCATCCCCCTTATTTCTTCCCCAGAACCTGTATTTTGCTCTCCTCTTCGAGCAATGGTAGAGAGTGAGAAAGCCAGCTGAGAATAAAAGCAGTAACAGTCATAAGAAGAAATAGAGAAGGGTAGCTGAGTCTCATTAGTTATGGAGCGTTAGACCGAATTTTTTCAAATCTCTGCTGTTGGCCTCTGGCAGGGAGTTTGGTTTCCTCATGATGGTCATGCCATAAATAGGGTTGGGTTTAAAATGATCATTGCCTTGCCGGGACCGGTTTGGCTCAGTGGATAGAGCGCCAGCCTGTGGACTGAAGGGTCCCAGGTTCGATTCCAGGCAAGGGCATGTACCTTGGTTGTGGGCACATCCCCAGTAGGGGGTGTGCAGGAGGCAGCTGATCGATGATTCTCTCTCATCGATGTTTCTAACTCTGTCCCTCTCTCTTCCTCTCTGTGAAAAATCAATAAAAAATAAATTTAAAAAATGATCATTGCCTATATGGAAATGCCAAGACTTGCTTCAAAATAATCCCAAGCTCGTACTGAGAATTCTATAACCATACTTTACCCCCATCCGTACCCAGTCTTCTGGGTTAGGATTCTTTGACACCTCCAGGCACTCTACCTTTTGCTCATGGGTTATGGAGATAGAAGAGGACAAACTCTAGCTTCCCAATTTGCTGGCAACATGAGCCTCTATCTTTCTTTGGTAGAGAGCTCTTTGGTGGTGGGGGTGAGGTGGTGGGGGGGCAGAGTGTAGGAGAAGCAGGAACCAAGCTAGAAAACCTGGGCAGGCATAGAGATAAAGCATCAAGGGAAAATTTATGGGCATTTCAGTTTGTGGAAACTCAGATTTGGGAGACAATTTGGTGTGAGTGGAGTTACAGGTAGCCAGGTAGCTGTGTAGGGATTGAATTGAGGATAGAGACCTTGCCCTAGCCAGTTTGGCTCAGTGGATAGAGTGTCGGCCTGCGGACTGAAGGGTCCTAGGTTTGATTCCAATCAAGGGCACATGCCCAGGTTGTGGGCTCAATCCCCAGTAGGGGGCATGCAGGAGGCAGCCAATCAGTGATTCTCACCATTGATCTCTCTCTCTCTCTCTCTCTCTCTCTCTCTCTCTCTCTCTCTCTTTCTCTCTCCCCCCCCCCCTTTCTCTCTGAAATCAATAAAAATACTTTCTACCATTTTTTTTTTTTTTTTTTTTTTTTAAGAAAAGGGCTTTTTCTTATTCATGAAGACAGAGCCATGTGTTTATTTAGGAAAGCATTCTGAAGAGGCCATGGCAACAATGCCATCTAGAGGTGAAGCCACAGAAGGACCAGCAATTTCTAGATCTGTTCATTACAAAAGTTATGGCTCCTGCAGCACCGGAAGTTCACAAAGTAGATACTCCATTTGATGTTGTTCACGTTAGCACAGTTCTTCAGGCAGCCCATGAAGGTCAACCACGGAGTACCGTCACCTGCAGCGGGAGGAGAAACATCAGCACAGAGGCGCTGGCCCAGAAACTTCTGTCCAGACTACCCCAGCCTATAAAAGCGACCTCAGGCAGTTTAAGGCTCTGTTATTCAAATGGGAAGAATTGGAAGATACTGCTGGTTGGGGGCTTCCCCAATGAAAGGCCATGGTAGAAGCGTTGGGGAAAATGTTTTGGCGGCATGGGGGGGAGGGATGGGGGGCAGGGGGCAGAAATAATGCCAGCAGTAATCCTGGCATGGCCAAATCGGATGCTTCCATTGAGAATCAGCACTGGTTTAAGGAAGAGCTATAAACACCCAGGGATCACTTAGCATGAAGGGTAGGCGAATAGAGAAGTCCTGATGTTTAGTCTTACCCATCGCGGGCTATGTAAGCCAGTTGCTATTGCTGCTCGAAGCTCCTCTGTGTCCACCGTTGAAAACCACCCAGGAGGACTTGCAGGCAGAGACCCAGACAGGGAGCTGCCCTCCCCGCCCCACACCCAGCTGCTCTCCAGCCAGTTGTTCCCTCAGCCTCTGCGTTCTTCAGGCTTCCCGAAATACTGGCTCTCTAGCTACAGACCTGCCCCTTCGTGATCACCCTCCTCATCTCGTTTCATTCTGCCACGTGATGGGGGTCAAGGCACCAGCCACTCAGAGCTGGGACCACCAGGAGTAAAAGGAACCCTGCCTCTTTCCTCTGGCTGACACCTCCCTGTCTGCTTCCTCCACCCCTTTTTTCTCCCCCCTGACCACCACTTACTGTTTTTTCAACATATGACATTTTTTAAAATTTCTTTATCGATTAAGGTGTTACATATGTGTCTATTCCTCCATTACACCCCCCATTCCCCCCCACTCATGCTCTTACCCCCTGGTGTCTGTGTCCACTGGTTAAGCTTATATGCATGCACACAAGTCCTTTGGTTGATCTCTCCCCTTTACCCCCACCCTCCCCTGCCTTCCCTCTGAGGTTGGATGGCCTAATCGATGTTTCTCCATCTCTGGATCTGTTTTTTTGCTCATCAGTTTATGCCACCACTTACTTTTAACAACCGTCCCAACTGTGCAGGCCTCCTCTGTGGTTGCCAAGCATATGCCCCTGCCTTTGGTGCATTTTTGTCCCGGAAACTTGATGTGGCACATCTTGCACTGGATAGATTCTGTCATTTGGACCAGAGCAGAGACGTGGACGTGAGAGCGGGTCTCGCAGGCCCTGGGAGGACCCATCTCCTCTTTCAGGCTGGGATTCAGGTTAAGCCAAAAGAGGCCATGGGGTTTACGGTCTCCAGAGCCTTTGTCTGAACAACACGGGAGGGGAAAGGAACAGGAAGAGGAACCAAGAGAAGGCTGAGACTGTCAGCTCAGGCCCTCCTCATACTCACGAAGAAACTGGCTTTTATCGATGTAGAGGTGCTTATTGTAGAGGGTCCATTCTGGCAAAGAGAAAGGAAACATGAAGCAAACCTGCCCTTGGAATCCTGGCCCTGCCCGGGGTCTGCCCTCTCTCTCACCCCTGGAGCCGCCTTAGGCCACGTCTGTCCCTCCAGAGCCTGGCCACCTATCTCTCCACCCCTTTCAGCTCCTTCCCCACTTCAATGCTCTTCTCCTGCTCCTCTCCCCATTAGGTACACTTACTTTATTTTATTTTTTTAAGCCTCACTCTCTTCTTGTTAACCCACCCTGGTGGCTTTTCCCCACTTGTCTGGAAGCTGATGGCACAAAAGATCAACTGCTATTCACAAAGTAGTTACCCTTTGGATCTGGTCAGCTAGTGCCTGCCTTGGACATTTCCCTTCCCACGTTCCCTCTGCCTTATCCTTGATTAACTCACCCTAAGCCTTGCCAACTGCTGTTCATGTTAGGAGGCCAAACTTAAAAGCAGCCCCCACCCCAGGCCCCCCCTGCGGGAATAGGTTGCCAGGTGTTGAAAGTCTGTGTCTATCTCTGGTGCCTTCCCATCCCCAAGGCCTGCCCTGCCCTGCCCTGCCCCTCTCATCTCCTCCCTCCTCTAACCTTTCCCTCCCCCACTGCTGATCCATGTTTACTCACCTGTATACTCTCTATCTAAAAACGATCCAGATAGTACTGTTGGGGGAAGAAAGACACATGCTCTGCAGACCTTGTTTTAACAAGTGCCACCTCCCAGCTCCTGTGGAAAGTCTCTCAATTCCTTATAACCCACCCATATTTTCTCCTGGGGGCGGGGGAGGGAAGAGAAGTTACAACTTTGGTGAGATTCCCAGGGACAAAAATGGCAGCTCTAGGAGGCCCCTGAGAGGACCTCTGTCGTGGGAACCCTGACCCATCCAGGATCCTTCATGTGTCTCTCCAACCGCCAACCCTGGGCTCACCTCTAAAGCAGCAGAACAGCACGGGGAGGCCCCTCAGGAGGGACCTGTCCATTTTGGAGGGAGGGAGGGAAGGAGGAAGGAGTAGATAGGGCAGGAAGCTGATGTGCCTATTTATACACCTGACTGGAGGGGTTTCCCCTGGAAGGGCCAGGGGCAGGGACACAGTGGAAGTCATTCAGAGACTCTCCTGCTTCTAGGGACCAGTCATTATGCCACTTCTCAAGAAGAGACTTCTCTCTCCTGCTTTAATACTGACCCACCTGGGTTCTTTGCTTATTGAACCCATTCCATTGACTTACTTTTCTCCTAAAATCTCCTCACATACTCCCCAGTCTTAATATCTCAAAATACCTGATTTTCCTTTTTTAAAGTATATTTTTATTATTGATTTCAGAGAGGGAGGGAAAGGGGGGAGAGAGAGAGAGAGAGAGAGAGAGAGAGAGAGAGAGAGAGAGAGAAACATCAATGATGAGAGAGAATCATTGATCAACTGCCTCCTGCAAACCCCACACTGGGGATCAAGACCACAACCCAGGAATGTGCCCTGGATGGGAACTGAGCATGACCTTCTGGTTCATAGGTTGATGCTCAAGCACTGAGCCATGCCAGCTGATGCTCCTGATTTTTTTTTCTGGGCCTACTCTGTTCCTTCTCTCAGTGCCTCTAATCCTTTTTCTTATCCTCTTATTGCACCCCAAAAATAATTATTTTTGTGTCCTAAATTTCAGACCTGTGACTTAAAAGTGTCCAGGATTGCTTTAGACCTTACCTAAGTCTGCACGGCCCCTTTATTCAGGATGCCCCTTTCCCCATCACAGTGTTCCGGAGGTACAATTACACCGGAAGTGTAGCCAGGGTTTATCTCAACTGAGAGTGACCAGGGAGGTCTTCAGTGGCATCCATATGTGTGAGATTAGAAGCCGGTTAGATTAGGGCTAGGATTTTTGCTTTGCATCTTCAATGTTAGGCAAAATATCAATACTACATGACATTTCTGGAGTGGAGATTTGCTTTCTAGCTATTACTTTTAAAGGAAACAGATCGACTCTCCACAGGGGATTTAGCCAACTAGCCTGAGATTTGTTGCTAATCCAGATAGTTCCACACAATGACCTTTCAGAAGAGGTTAATGGGGCTGGTGGTGAGTACCCGGATGTGAGGACGGAGCTCTCAGCTGTGGCCGATCCCACACGTGATGAGGCGAGTCGACTGGATGAAGAAGCGCATTCACTGGCCCCATGAGGCACCGCTGGCCTCAGGCTCCTGGCTTTTCCCAGTGCCCACAGGACACAGGCCAGTGATCCAGCAAGAAAGAACAGCCTCTTCTCCATCAGGGTGGGAAAGAACAGTCAGAACAGAGCAGTCTGACTCTTTTCCCTCGGGCGAGGGAGGAGCACAGCCCTGGGTGGCCAGGCCAGGACGTTCTGCCATCTTGAAAGGTGTGAAAACAGAAGCTTTTCGGACAACACGTGCAGATCCAATAAAGAACATAAGAGAAGTGTCTCTGGAGAGCCTGTGTGTGTTTTCTATCCTGAGACTCGCCACCTCTGAGGATCTTCTATGAAGCTCAAGCTTGTTCAAAGCACCCACAGTTCCCTAGGCAGCTCTCCGCTGTGGTTCTGAGGTCTGGAGAAGGTAACATGGCCGTTAGAGTGACTAGGGAAGGAGGTCTAGGACACAAGGGAGAACCGAGTAGCCAATAGCTTATCCATTGGTCCTGTTACAGCTTACATTGCAAATAAAATGTCCTGTACGCTCAACATGCTGCCAGCAAACCCAGCTATCTCCAGAAGAACTCTTCCCAAGGGTGACCTCAATTTTCTGGGAGACTTTTTTGAGGACTAGTGTTATTCCTTTCTTTAATTTAAAAAAAAAAAATTTATTTCAGAGACAAAGGAGAGAGAGACAGAAATATTAATGATGATAGAGACTCATTGATCAGCTGCCTCCTGCATGTCCCACAATGAGGATTGAGCCCGCAACCCGGGCAAGTGCCCTGGCCAGGAACTGAACCAGCAACCTTTTGGTGTACAGGTTGTTTTTGTATGAAGCTTGCTTTTATATATATATATATATATATATAGTATTCCATTAGTTGAATATTAGAGCTGAGAACTTTCCAGTATTAATGGAAAACATCATCTCAGAGATTCAAGAAAACCTAAAAGCCAGGCCAGCATGACTCAGTGGTTGAATGTCAACCTATGAACCAGGAGGTTACTGTTCGATTCCTGAGTTGCGTGCTTGATCTCCAGTGAGGGGCGTACAGGAGGCAGCTGATCAATGATTCTCTCTCACCATTGATGTTTCTATCCCTCTCTCACTCTCTCTTCCTTCCTCTCCCTGAAATAAATAAAAATATATTTTAAAAAAGGAGAAAGAGGAGGAGGCCTGAGAGAAATGCACCATTGGTCCTGTTTCTACAGTATTGGGTCCCTGTTCTCAAGGAAGCAGGCACCCTAACGCTGTGTATGTAACTCCGAGAAACCTGGGGTCAGTCCAGAGGATTAGAAGAACAGAACATCTTCTTCTTAGGGCCTTGAACTGAGCTAGCTTCTGATCATGAAGGTCCAGGTGGGCAGCAGATGAAGGGTGAAGAGCTTAGTCAGGTGAGAAGGAACAAGGAGTACTCATTAGGACAAGGCAGCATGGAGCTCCAGGTGCCGTTCAGAGGTGGGTGGGGAAGAAGTGAAAGGGTGTTAGTGCATTTAGCAGAAGATACTCAAAGGAGGGGGGATGGAGCACAGCTCTTCTCATTTCAAAGACTTAACATGTGCCAACGTGTTGAAAATGCAAGGTTAGAAAGAGGACATGGCCTCCTCCCCATGTCTTAGAAATTTCCTGAAAAGGTATGCTCACCAATAGAATAAGAAAGGGAGATTCTTGTCACACCTCCCCACCCCTCCTCACCCCAGAAAAGTCCCTCCTCCAAGTCGGCCAGGTAAGTCCCAAGGCACTGTGCTGAGGACCTCTGGGGTACTAGGTCTCTATAACTTCAAAAGTGATGAAATAGCCAAACCCTAGTTGGTTTGGCTCAATGAATAGAGTGTTGGCTTGTGGACTGAGGAGTCCCAGGTTTGATTCTTGCCAAAGGCACATGCCTGCATTGTGGGCTTGATCCCCAGTAAGGGGGCATGCAGGCGGCAGCCTATCAATGATTCTCTCTCATCATTGATGTTCTATCTCTCTCTCCCTCTTCCTTCTCTCTAAAATCAATAAAATATATTAAAAAAGAAAAAAGAAATAGCCAAAATTTCAATTCCACCATACCCTGTTATCAACTATGGTCATCTCATAGCAGAGAGTCTGTGCCCTTATGCCAACCTCTTCCTCTTCCCTCCACCACTGTCTCTGGCAACCACTTTTCTGTTCTCTGTTTCTATGAGTTTTACTGTTGCTGCTGCTGCTGCTTTTATCTGTCTTTCTCTGTCTGCCTTATTCTATTTAGCACAATGTGAGATGATGGGTGTGTGAACTAACTAGATTGGGGGTGGAGGAGAGGTCGTGTCACTCATACGCTTTTAAAGATGCTCATTTTGTAGTTGTACAAATTTCACAATGTATATCAAATCACCATGATGTACATTTGAAGTATCTTACAGTGTTGTTACTTATACCTCTAACCTGTTGAAATAAAAAAATGTTTAGCCCTAACCGGTTTGGTTCAATGGATAGAGCGTCGGCCTGTGGACTGAAGGGCCCCAGGTTCAATTCCGGTCAAGGGCATGTACCGTGGTTGTGGGCACATCCCCAGTAGAAGGTGTGCAGGAGGCAGCTGATGGATGTTTCTCTCTCATCGATGTTTCTAACTCTCTAGCCCTCTACCTTCCTCTCTGTAAAAAATCAATAATATATATATATATATTTTAATGTTTAAAGGTGCATGAGCTCCAGTGACAGGTCCAAGTGGAAAAATCTCAGTTCTGCTGCCTAGCACTGTGGCCCTGGCAAATCATTTAACCTTTCCCAGCCTCCATTTCAAAACCTAAAAAAGCGGGAAGACTGATGCCCAAGAAGGAGGCAATCTGGGATCAGTGTCTCCAAGTTTTCCTCTAAAGGCCTGCATCAGAGCAAACTGAGGAAGCAGCCACCTGGCCACCCAGACTTAGAGGACATGGGATGGGAGCAGGCGACCTCCCCTGCTGCTCACATTGAGGGCCTGTTTGGCTACAGCAGGATGTAGGCACCGACTTTCAGCTACAGCTCCTCCCGTGAGCCACGGAGGGAGGGCAGAATCAGTCCTCCGCTGCTCTCTTGAGCTGTGGAAGCGACTTATCTGACATTTCTATATCCGTATGTGAGCTACAGTCACCCTGAGAGAAAACGATTGCTGGCTGCTGAAAGATTATAGTCACTAAAAGAGGAAAGGGGTGCAATGAATAAAAGCGACGTTGATAGTTTTATTCTCCCAAGAAGTTCGTGTTTGGGCTTTTGAATTCTTGTCATTTTATGGGACAGGTTTGTTTTGTTGTTGTTATTCCTCACCTGAGGATATTTTTCCATTGATATTTAGAGAGAGTGGAAGGGAGGGGAAGAGGCAGAGAGAAACATTGATGTGAAAGGGACACATGAATTGGTTGCCTCCTGCATGAGCTCTGACTGGGCTGGGATGGAGCCTGCAACAAGGTGCGTGCCCTTGATTGGAATAGAACCTGCGACCCTTCGGTCCTTGGGCTGACCCTCTAACCACTGAGCACACCAGCTAGGACTATATAGTATAGGTTTTTGAGAAAAATTAACCAGAGACTTTTTTTTTTTTTTGTCGGAGACTATTCTTTTTCTCTTCAGAGGATAACAATAAGAACAACTATATATTTTCTAAGCACCCTCTCTGTTAGAAACGCTGCAAACACATTACCTTTTTTTGAGATGTTAATTTTTTTTTCAGTTGCAGTTTACATTCAATATTATTTTGTATGAATTTCAGGTCTACAGCATAGTGGTTAGACAATCATCCTATATAATAAAAGCCTTAAATACTAAGTGTCCGAACATTTGTTCGCCCCTTTGACCAGTTGCTATCATGCACACTGACCATTAGGGGCAGATGCT